AAAATTGATACGTTCGTGTCTGAGGCTATGCTTGATGAATTTCTCAGGCATTTATTGTGAGTGTAGAACATGATCTGACAATCCTACTCTTCTTGAGAGGTGGACTCCTCTAGAGAGAGATGACTCAGTCCAGCCTACTCTAGTAAGGATGCCCAAGAACAAGTATCCAGTTCTCGTTGAGCCACTGTAGATGTATTTATTGCTTCACCTGGCAATTTGGCACAGAGCCATAATAGCCAAGGAAAGAAGCGGCATGGGGGATTCGACTTTATCGTTATGACCCGATCGTCATTGGAATACCAATATGCTAGAATGACAAACTCAACTGGGTAATGGTAGCCATAAGCGAATGCTTGCCCGGGAGCACATTGTATGACTGAGAAAATGAGAAATAAGAATGTTCGAAGCAGTTTACGTTCTTCTTGAGTTGGTCTATTTCTTGCTGAATAACTACCTTTTGCTACAATCCTATTACTCTGGCCTGTTAATCAACAAATGCAACTTCAAGCAGCTTAATTGCGGAGAGTGGACAGATAAGTAAAGATTGGAGATATGTCTTTTGTTTATGAAAGTTAATCCATTGATGCACGGACATAAGCAAATAGGAGAGCCTGGCCAGTTCACCATGGAGAATAAAGCTGCTAAAGATATTCGAAATCAGCATACTGAAGTTTGAATTCCGTATTGCCTTGAATCAGACAGAAATGTAGAACTCCATAAGGATAGTTCCTGAAACCCGATACAAATGTTATGTCAGCTCCAGCTCTAGCCCCCTTAAATTGGTTGGTGGTGCATAACACATTGCATACCTTAGGTAGAATGAATAAGTAAGTAGTATTGGCCTTAATAACAACACTTCAGATGCTAGATCCCTTCAAACGATGACAATGCACCCAAGCAATGCAAAAGGAACTAGATTTGGACTGCAACTTCCTGAGAATACAAGCAGTGTGCCAAATCTCACAGGTAAAGGTAGGCCTCACAAGGATCTTTAGAGAGAGAATCCGGATTTTCTTTTACTTGTCAGAGTATACCAATGAGAGGAGGGATTCCTATATATACAAGTACTTCCTTATTCGTAACCGTAGATCTCCCTACAATTTAAACGTGGAGGTTTAATTTCTCCATCTATCAACTACCCGCATTAATTACAAGAATTCTCCATAATGGTGTATATTTCCCATATTGCTTGTCCCTAGTAATAATATTCTAGAGAATTCGTGAAACTCTAAAATACTCGCCCGGTCTTTTCCGATCATCACGGTCATTTGTACCTTTTTTGTTTTTTGGTCGGAAGTCCTTTGTACCTTGAGAACCTATGGACCGTGACACATAGAACCATCACTCATAGAAGTAAGTTTTTAAGGCCAAGCCCTCCCTCATGGGAAGACACTTTAGACCAAGCCAATCTAGCCCCCCGGCATTAGTTGATATGACTTTCCACAAAGATGCAGAGCATCTCATCACAACAGCCTTGATCACTTTCGTAGGCAAAAGAAACATCTTACTCCAGTACTTCACCATACCATAAACCACCTGTTTCACCTTTTACTATTTCCCTGCAAAACTCAAATGCTTGACAGTCCAGGCTTCCATTGTGATTGGTGAATGAAAATAAAACTAGTAGACTAAGAAGGATGACATCAGTTATATGTCATGTATCAAGCCATCGTTGGAGCCGATTAAATTTGCGGCCAGGCTGCAAATGGCAGGACAAGAATAATGACAGTCACTAGATTATAGTTTCTTCCTTGAATTTCGATGAACAGGGAATGGAAGCAATCCAGCACTTAATTAAACTTCTTCTCAGACTGTACGCTAAGCATGCTAAACAGAATAATCTCTTCACCTGTTTAGGGAGCAAAAAACAGCTAGGTATGAAATATATTATCAGCTGGATAGTATTTGTCAGCTGAGAACCTTCACTGGAGTCGTATAGACAGTGAAAGGACAACGGCCTTTCTCCTAGAGAAAGCAAGCAGATATTTTGTAGGCTAAGCCCAAAATAGAAGAAAAAAATGGGGATAAGATGGAGTAGATGGCATGGAACAGGTCCTGTTAGAATCAGGAACTGAGGACAGTGTCGATCCCATTGTCGCGGGAAATTCTTTGTATTTTTATACATCGCCACTGAGATAATCAGTGAGCTTGAATCTCCAGCAACTGGTCTCTTTGATGAGGGTGGAGATGGGAGAAGTGGGCTGATTCGCGATAGTTTTTTTTTTTTTTTTTTGGTCGAAGATTCGCGATAGTTCAGTCTGAGCATTCGCTGCTTACCCTTTTTCTCCATTATCTGTTGACCACCTGCAACACTGTGAATACTACATGATGAGACATGGAAATTTGAATCGAGGAATAAACTTCAACTACTGCAGGTCTGATGTTTCCCTTATTCAAACAGATTGTAGGGTGTCGTTCAGCATAGAATCCTCCATAAGATTACAGAAGTCAACATCAGAGATCTCAAAACTGACATTCAAGAAAATTACTTTTCTCTGTCACAAAGAGACTTTCTTCTACGAGTATGAGCGTGTGCATGCTCTATTGCCAATGTTTTCAAACGGAAGAATATAGCACATTTTAACACAAGGGTGCTGGCAAAACAAAACCAGGTCGGTGTCTAGAGAAGCAACAGAGTAAGTGTGGAAGAAAATAGGATTCTCCATATCATTGTGATGTTAGTAAGTCGTCATCACTTTCCACAATCGTAGAAATTTGTGCCTGACCATGTTTCTAAAAGGCATATACCAGAGCCTTTACGGTCTCTATCTAAGTTACCAAAAGCAACTCAAAGAAAGTGGCATATCTGTTCTGTAGAACCAGTCGTATTAGATGAAACTGTCACATGATGGAAGCTCGAGAGCAACTGAAAGTGAAAATAAAATTTTACCTGAACACCATATCCAAAAAAGAATGCAAAACATTCACCTGTGAGCTAGCTGGGAAAAATCATCTTCAGATTCACCATCCTCATGATTCACACTCGCTGGTGCCAAAGCTGGGGGTTTCTGTCACTTCTGCTTTGGTCAATGGAGCACCTTTGGTGACAATGTTATCATGTTGACAAAGAGCACGCTGCAAACTAGCATTCAATGCCAATCCCAGCCATAGAAGTTCCGCGTCTCTGAAGGTCAGTAGAGTGCGCAACTAGGGGTATAACATCTAACCGCAAAAGGTTGCATAATTTATTTTCTTTATTGAAGTTCTAACGCTGTGTAATTCAGATGAAGCATGACACACTCTCGATAAGAACGACACTGATCGACAAGGTCAACAATTACTTCTTGCTTCAAAGCCTGCCACCATGTCCACAATGTTAGATGAAGATTCAGAACGTAACGTCAAAATCCAACTCAATCTGCACTGAAGATTGCAAAGTTTACTAAATAAGCTACATACAACATCATAACCGAAAATGTATCTTCCCAAAGTGCAAAAATCAAGTCTGCAAGCGAAAGGAGAAACGGCACCCATGCATGGGCAGCATAGCCCACCTTATGAGCTTATTCACGGGGCACAGAGTGCAGGAGGTAATCGTCTCATTTTGCTAATTCGAAATATGGGAAAGCCTTCCCAGCCAAAAGAGGTGCAAAAGTCGCAAAGCCATTTTCGGCAAAAGCAAGATAAATCTCAGTATCTAAGAGGGGACAAGACTCGATGTGCATAAATACCAAGTGCAAATATCCCTCGCAGCTCTTGGACAGTAGTAACTCGATACTCCAAGTCTCTAGCAATAACAACTTTTTGTCGTTCAGGCAGTAAGAATTGGTGATCACCCAAGACGGTGCATACTAGAATTCTGCAACTTCTTCCAATTAGAACAGCAACGGATTACGGAACGGTCGAATCTTACGACCAGATCCTAAAAGAAAAGCAAAGAAATAAAGCTAGAGCAATTTTCGGACTTCGGTTGTGTTGTTCAGCCAAAGGTTCTAGAGCTAGGAAGACAAATTGATAGTAGTAGACCTGATAGGGCTGTCGGATAAAAAACACGAAATAGCAGAATATAAGAAGCCACCGAAGGATAAGGCCACTGCCGAATCATAATTTCCCATTACTGAATGGATCAGGCCACTGCTGGCGATTACTGCCCGGCCTCTTCTACCACCGAAGGAAGGATCACCATCCGCTAAAGAGCTGAGTCGGAGGCTGCTTCGACCTTCAGAGGGAATGTCAAAGGGAAGTTGTTCCTGGTCCACCGAGAACCGACTGATGAAAAGGACTCGGTCAAAAACTCTTGAAACACCCTCTCTCTCTCTCTCTCTCTCTCTCTCTCTCTCTCTCTCTCTCTGTAGTATGCCCTCCACCCACGCAAAGCCCTTGCCCCCACTATCTTCGCGATTACCGCCATTACCATTGGCCTCGATAATGATGCTCTCTCTCTCTCTCTCTCTCTAAGCTACATCTTCTGGACATTGATAAGCAAGTCATCGAAGGCGAGAATGCCTCTGAATCTAGAAGCACGACCGTCATGCCTCCACATCGAAAGGGGGAGGAGGGGCTCAATCGCATCGGAGGAGGAGACGCCAGAGCTTTGCCCAAGAGAGAAAGGGAAGCCCAAATAATCACGGACACAATTATTGTTATTATTAAAAAAATAATAAATAATAAATAAGGAATGAGAAATAAGTTGAAATTTAATTAATTTTATTAAAAAAAAAGGACGAGAGACGGTGATCTTAAATTCAAATTGTGGGAGGGACCGGTTTTTTTATTGAATTGGGCACTTGCAGATGCAGTTGCAGCAGTTGGAAGATACAAACGAGAGGTGAGGTTACAGAGAGAGAGAGAGAGAGAGAGAGAGAGAGAGAGAGAGATGCTTATTTGCCGCTGCGGTCGTTTTGTTTCCCCTTCGTCTTCATTTTAACACCCCCTTACCCCCACATTACAGGAATCCCAACACCAGAAAATTACATCACTATGGAAAAACAAACGAAGCCGCCTTTTTTTTTAATTATAAAAAAAAACAATATTAAACTTATTAGCCTCAACTCACTCACTCACTCACTCGGCCCCCCACAAGGTAGGAATCTAATCGTGGCCAGGCCAAGAAAGGACTGGTTATCTTTCGCCTTACGTGCTGCCTCTTCAAATGTCATTTCTTCTTCTGCACGGCTCAACCAACCCAACTGCAAAGTGACCCGGGCGGTGGGGTCCCACTCAAACTCGGCCCACCAGTCTTTTCCCGCTGTGACCCCGAAGCTTCCCCTCGCGCTGCTCGAGTCCAGCGGCAACTTTCTAAGACGAGGGCAGTCGAGTATGGAGAATCTTACCACCTGGGGAAAGGATAGAGCCTGGTCGCAAATGCTCGTTAGCTTGGGAAGACTCATGAGTAGTAGGGATTCGAGACGTGAAAATAGTCTCGAAGCAGCTAATTCCTCCCTTGCAAATCCATCCCCAATGATTTTCTCCATCGATTTGCAGCGTACGACCGTCAGTTTTTGAAGCTCCGGAGCATGCACGAGCCAGGACAGGTCCGAAAGCCTGCAATTGTCGACCGAAACTTTAACGAGATTGGGGAAAAAAGAGCAGTTGGGCGCTCGTCCTATTCCTTGAGTTATCTTCATCTCACTCAACTTGGTACATAGAAGTAGATAAAGCGTCTTTAAATGCGAGAAACCGTCATTGCTTGCTGGTGAGCAATTTATTACGATGCTAGTCAAGTTACCATTCCTATTATTAATGCACGCTCTCCTTATCCGTCTCCGTAAATTTGGGGATTGAAATATTTTCTGAGTAGAGGAAGACTCACGCACGCAGATAGATAAGTCGGTGAGATGTTGCATGCACCCTAGTTCCTCTACCGTCTCTTCTTCCTTCACTAAACCCCATTCCTCGAAATGTCCTTTGAATTGCCATTGGCTGAACACATTCAACGGTAAGCTTGTGATTGCCCCTGTTGGAATAAGGATGTTACTTTCCAACATATTGTCCAGTAGCAACCACCGTAAACGAGTCAAGTTCTTGATTTCTTTGGGTAATTCACTAATTCCGGTGCTCGACAAGTTCAAGTACCATAGATTAATCAGATTGCAAATCCCTTCGGGGAATGACTTGATATGCTTATTGTTGGACAGGTTCAGGACCGCCAAACAAGCCGTCATCGAGTCGAAAAATCCTTTTGGCATGAACGTCACTTCTGTTTCCCTCACAAATAAAGTTTCGAGCTGCGGACACTGGGGTGGTTTTTTGTCGATATTTCGAATCCATTTTCCCCATAGAGATACTTTCTTTGCTTCTCCCCATTTGGAGATCATATCCTCGGACATGTCTTCGTCTTTCTCTATCACTAGCAACTTGTTCTCCCTTTGCCCGTGGTCACGAGCGATCCAGGTTGCCATGTCGCGGATGACATCGTGCATCTTCACATGCCGTTGGTCATCATCACGCCCACTTTCCAATAGGCAAGCCCTATTTAACCTCCCCAAGACATGCTCTCCCTCATTACGCAAACTGTATACATCATCGGTGTCTCCTAGCAAGCCCTCTCCAATCCATAGTCCAATAAGGTCGTGCCGTCTTATGTGGTAATCCTCAGGGAAGAGACAACAATAAAGGAAGCAACGCTGAAGAGTAGAGTCATTTAATCTATCATAACTGAACTCTAATATGTGGTACACTTCATCCACCATACCTGATAGTCTGTGTGGATTTTTCCTAAGCGTTGTCAGCGCATAGTTCCACTCATTGGGATTGGCTATGCCGGCCATGGCTTGCCCAACGGTAATAAGGGCTAGTGGCAGCCCTTTGCACTCTTGTACAATGTCATCAGCGAGCGCTAGAATTTTTGGATGAGAATGCATAGTCGATTTGCCGACGATGCTCTCGAACAATCCCCGGGCTTCTTCGTGCATCAAGCACCGTACTTCAAGGGTTTTGTTGGCTCTCATTTGGTGGCATACTTGCTCCGACCGAGTTGTGAGCACTACTTTGGATCCGTTCTCGAGAACATGATGAGGAACTCCGATTTTGGAAAGGTCCAGCCTTTCCCATAAATCATCAAGCAACAACACAAACTTCTTCTGGGTCAAAGCTTGGCACATATGATAGACCCTCTCATCCCAGGACCATCCTTCCCAATGCTTATCTTCAATGCCCAGCCTTCTCCTTATGGTGTCTTGAATTCTATCTTTATCCACTGCCTTGGACACCACCACCCAAATAACAACATCGAATCCGTTATTTGCACACGAAAGCTCCTTCTCGATCCTTCTCATGAGGGTGGTCTTTCCCACACCGCCCGTTCCGTACAACCCAATCACTCCCACTTGTTTTTCGTCCACTAGCCATTTCCACACTTTATTAAGGGAAATATCAACCCCCACTGTCTTGTCCATAGGCATCTCGAGCACTTGAGGAGGAGGCAGCCGTGACGTGAAATCGCTAAATTTTTCTTTCTCATGTTGGAGCTGTCTCACTTCGTTGAGCAATTGATCAACTCTTTTCCCCAATTTATAACTCGACCAGCAGTTCCGTGGAAAACAACGACTGAGACATTTGATTTGGTCACGTTCCCCGGCTTCCCGAAGAACTTGATCTACTCCACCGACAAAGTCTTGCACCTTGCCTAACCAGCTCGCCACTTGATTCGTGCGCCACGCGCGTGTTTCTTCTTCTTCACGTTCCACCCTTGCCTTCACATCTTCGCTCACAGCCTTCAGATTTTTATTTTCTTCATCCAACGAGCGGACATTATCTTTCAGATTATAAATGTAGCCCAAAGGTTTACGGGCCAAGGCCCATAAACCTTTGACGATTTCTAAAAGAGGACTTGCGATTTCCATAAATCGGAAAATCGACTATTTATATGGTTGGAAAGGGGGCGAATGAGTGGAGTTCGATAAGCTCTTGTATATTTATCTCGATCATTCCAGCTAGCAGACAAAGGAAAGAGTATCGGAACCTTTTCTCTACTTCAAGAAGAGAAATGGAACTATTTCTTCTTCTTGTTTCTTCGTCGAGGACGAGCTGCGAAGAATTTTACCGTTCAAAAATGCAATCCACAAAAGTTTGAGCCAAGTAAAAAGGAAGGAATGTGTCATGACTAGTCTCATTTAGAAGCACCCTGAGGAGTATGAAGAATCAAATAATATCAGTGACCGATGTTTCTTCGATATGAGGCAATGCTTATGTTCTTCTTCCTGCTTTTGTCTATAGACTGCGTGGAATGTGATCAATGGTGTCCGGAAGCTAAGAATTACTATTATTTTGGATACAAGCAAATAATTATTTGATTCCTTTTTAAGATGCAAAAAATGTAATTGATGAGTCAGCCTTTTAGAAGCTCTCCAATGGAAATTTCAAAAATTTAATCATCTGTGCACTTAGTTTTCATAATTCGACAATTTGGGTAACTATCGAAGTGATCCGCAAAAAGCCTTTTCTAATACTAACTAGAATTAGAGTTTGTTTAGTTTTTACTATTTGCTTCTTAAAAATCTTACGGCGTGCCCGAATTCACTTTTATTAATGTAAAATGCTTCAAAACCTTTGAAAGTCATCGATATACAGATTCCCATATAATCTTCTACAAATTTTTTGAAATTAAAAAAATTTAATTGTTAATTAAAAAAAAATATATTGCTCATGCACTTTTAGAAGTCCACCGGCCATCTACTGATATTTCCATTTGCAGGATGGGTGCTACCTAATTTGCAAGTCACAACTCACTTCAAATGTACATGTCATTATGCAGACATCAAATATATAACTCAATATTCTTAAAATTGCCTTGTCACCATTTTCATACTAGTCACTTTTACTTCTCTCTTAGAATTATTGAAATAATGCCAACATTTTGCACAATCGTTATTATTTTACAATTACTCTATCATAAATAATTAAAATCTAAACATAAGTTGAATGCAATCAGCAACTATGTTTTCTTTTATTCATCTGTCACTCCATAAATTTAATGTCTCATGGATTTTATAATAAAACTACTTTCAAATATTTATAGCTTATGAAGAAGTTTAGGACTGAATTGGCAAAAGTGTCAATTGGTCGGATGGACTCAATTAGTAAAATGTGAAAAAGTTTAGGATCGAATTAGCAAAAGTGCAATAGGTTTAGGACTTTTTGAATAATTCCCAAATTTTAGGTTGATGTACTCATTGTGGGAGATAAATTCTCAATCCACACAACAAGTGCAATTTATCAATTGTATGTACAAGGACTATGCATATTAAACTTAACTAAAGGTTACATTGGCCATGATAAATAGGTTTGAAAGTCATATCCATCGACATACGTTTTAAAGATGTGCAACGTAATGTGAGATTAGTTCCTTATAAAGTATGGATAATTTAAGATGTGCAAAAATTTAAGTTCTTCGATTATTTATTGAAGACTAAACTAAGATCGACCAAGGCTTTAATTAGCGAAAGATATAACTCGAAATCTCGTTTTAGAAACACAAAAATAGGATCTAATTTTGCAGTACAATGAAAATGGTGAGATCGACTCAAATGAGATTCCTATAAAAGATTTTTTTGTGGGTTTTTAAGTATCGTCAAACTTTTAATCTACCTCGGCTTGCTAAGCTAGTATGGAGGCTCTTTCATAACCCGGATGCTGTGTGGGTTAAGCTTCTTAAAGGTCTATATTTTCCATAATGTGACTTTCTTGAGGCTGTCAAAGGTGCTAAGGCCTCTAGGGGATGGAGTAGTATTTTTGAGGGAAGGGAGATTATGAATGGAGGGACCGTATGGCAAATAGCTTCTAGAGACAGTTAAGGTGTGGAAGGATAGATGGGGATAACAAAGGAGGAAATCAAGCTTATATTGGGTAGTAATTTGGTTAACAATGATTTGAGATGCTGGGATGTGAGGCCTAGCCAAGATTATGTTGCAGTTGAAGATTGGGATGCCATTCAACAAATCAAAGCTTAGTGATATCAGCGGTGAAGAAAAATATGTGTGGCCTTTTGACAGAGGATGGTTAACAATGATATCTGTGTATATTTTTGCGAAGGAGTTATATTTTAGGAAGGAAGGTCCATCTATCTGAAAGGTGGTGGAGAGCAGTGTGTGTGTGGAAACTACACTCTTAGTGCCTTAGCATCGTATAGCAACCTTTTCAAGAGGAGGATCAGAAATGATGCTAATTGTGTGTTTTGTGGAGAGGAAACTATTGAACGTATTACTTTGTTATGCCGAAAATCTGAGTGTATCTGGTTTGCTATGTTGAATCTGAAAATTAGAAGGAGGACGTGTCGAGTATTGATTTATGGTTTGATAGAATACGTCAGGATATGGAGAAGAGGAGTGGAGACAAAGCAGCTATTTCCAGGATCATTGCTTTTGTATGTTGGTATATGTGGAAGGGAAGATGTAGTAGTGTGTACAAGCATTCTATTCCAGACCCTGTTAAGGTGCTTAAGCAATCGCAACAAGCTTTAACTGAGTATGTTCACTTGAAGAAGCATATGCAGTTGGACAATCCTGATCAGAGGAAGAGTGAGAAGGAAGATACTAGAGATTTTGATTGGAAGAAACCTTCACAAGGTGTCATCAAAATTAATGATATTAGTAGTCTTTTAGAAAAACATAACAAGGCGGCTGTGGGAGTTATTGGTCGAGATTATTCAGGTGCTATAAAGGGTGGTACAGGGTAAGCAGTTGCTGCTTCTGATATATAAGAGGTTAGCATTGAAGGAGGGAGTTCTTTAAGCCAAAGAAAAGCATTGGGAACACATCATCCTTGACACCGATTTAGAAGTTGTCTTTAAAGCTGTTACGATGCCAAACCAGTTCATGAGATCGCATTGTGAACCTGTGGTGTAGGATATAAGTGAAAGTTTCCTAGCAATTGGGTAGTGTCACCCCCATTCCATTTAGTTGACTTGCTTTTGTACGATTTTAAAACTTGACCTCTGCGATTTTGAGGTTGCTGTTATATCTTCGACACTTTACTGTATACATTCAAATACTTTGGCCAAAAAAAAAAAACAGGACTACTTTTTGTTTGGCCAGAAAAAGAGGCCTACTTTGTTACGCTGTATTATTCTCTCGTTTGGTGTTAGCTCAATTTTTTTAAAGCTTGAGAACTATAGTTGAAATTTCATATTTTTGAACTTAACTAATGAAAAGTGTATCAAAACCTTTTGCTAATAGATGCATCCAAACACAAGTTTGAATGTTAGATTTTCTCCATTAAGATGCTTCCAGAGAGTTTTGTTGCACTTATCCTTTAAATTTTTGTTAGCTTAATGACCGAAGTTTTATGATATTTGAGTCAACAATTTATGTTTTAGATTGTCATCATCATATTGGTCATAATTCGAGCAATAGAGAGAAAACAGAAATCTCATATAATTTTTTGGGTTTTGATGTTATCCAAAATTTAATTCTTTGTTCATGTCTATCGAGTTCAACTTGAATTAAAGGACTCGGGCATGAATCAACTTTAGATGACAATAATCACTAAGCTCTAGTGACTGAAGACTGCATTACTTGGTATTGCCTATGCTGATAACAAATCATGGAGCCATCAAAAGCCACGACTCAGCAATTGTCCGAACCGATCATGTTTTCCAAGACATGATTTATAAAAAAACCAGTTACATGAAAAAGAATTTAGATGCCTCACCACCGCAGTTCTCAGACGAACCAATCACTCCAAGTCAAGATGACGGGCTTTGATTTCTGCGGCGATGAAGAGGACCTTGCTCTTGCAAAATCGACCAGATCTTTGAAGAGTATATCCTCTTGTTTCACTTGCTTGTTCCGTAGCAGGTGAATCAAGAGAGAGCTCCTGCGTCTCGCCCACTAAATCGTCACGCGAGGGACCGGTCTCAACACAGAACTAGAGGGATTGCCCGCAAGCTCCACCCGTTGCTCTGTAACTTGTCCTCTCTGGTTATATGGAATTGAACTAGAAAATAATGCGTCCAAAGGAAAGAATAAGAGATCGAAAAAATAAGAGTATGTAGATGGTAGGAAAGCAGGTGGACGGGTGCTGTTCGATAAGCTATATGCTATATTTATCTCGATCGTTCTGGCTAGCAGGCGAAGGAAAGAATATCGAAATCGTCCCTTTACTTCGAGAAGAGAAATGTGACTATAATTCTTCTCCTTTCTTCATTGGGGTGGAGCCGCAAAGAATCTTTATGTTCAGAATTGAAATCCACAATCGTTTGAGCCAAGAAAACAGGGAAGGTATCATGACTAGTCTCATTTAGAAGCACCCCGAGGAGTATGAACTAAGGCAAAGAATATCAGTGACCGATGTTTCTTCAATACGAGGCAATGCTCGCGTTCTTCTTCCTGCTTTTGTCTGTGGACTGCGTGGAATGTGATCAATGGTGTCCATAAGCAAAGAATCACTATTTTTTTGGATAGAAGCAAAGAATTATTCGATTAATGGGATTGAGGGTTAGCCTTTTAGAAGCTCTCCGATGGAAATTTCACAAACTTAATTAGCTGTTTATTTGGTTTCCATAGTTCGACAATTTGGTAACTATCGAAGCAATCCACAAAAAGCCTTCTCCAATACTTATTACAATCAGAGTTTATTTAGTGTTTGCCTTTTGCTTTTTTTAAAATCCTGCGGCATACCCGAATTCACTTGTATTAATGTAAAAAAATACTTGAAACCTTCGAAAGTGATCTTACCTTGATATATAGATTCGCGTACAATTTTCTCCAAAGTTTTTGAAATTTAAATAATATTTTAAATATTAACGGAAAAAGCAAAAAAAATATTACTTTTGCCTTTTCGGGAGTCCATTGGCCATCTACGGATATTTCGATTTGCAAGGTTGGTGCTATCCAATTTGCAAGTCCCGACTCACTTCAAATGCATATGTCATTCGGCAAACGTAGTAAAACATATGACTCGATATTCTTAAAATTGCCCCGTCACCCTTTTCGTACTAGCCACTTTTAATTCTCTCTTAGAATTATTGAAATAATGTCTAACATTTTGCACAATCGTTATTATTATACAATTACTCTATCATAAATAATTAAAATATAAGCATAAGTTGCATGCAATCAACAACTAAGTTTTTTTTATTCATTTGTTACTCCATAAATTTTGTCTCATGCATTTTATAATAGAAATATTTTTAAACATATATAGCGTATGGAGAAACATATATTTTTAAACATATATAGCCTATAAAGTAACGTCACATAAACCCACTTAATTTACAACCAAATTAAATTAAAATCTGAATGTTAAGAAGATAACGTTGCAATTTGAAGCGTGAAATTATTTCCTCATTATATTTAAATTGTAAATTGACAAGAACCAAAATATTTGGATAAATTATTTCTTTATTATGTTTAAATTTACAAATAGAAAGAACAAAAGAAAATTGAAAGTAAACTAATATAAATTCATTTTATTGCTAGTTCAAGAAGAATCTTTGAAAATTAAACACGTAATAACATATCCTATCGATAAAATAAACTTGTTATAATCTTCGGTATGATGATTTTTTTATACGGGAGAAAAGTTAATGATGAATATTTATCGAGAAAGAAAGTACACGTCAACGAAGACAACAATAAGCCTTTATTGATAAAATTTTCATTATTAACAGTAAAAAATGTACGTTATCGACAATAAGCCGTTTATTCGTTCGTTGTTCTACAGCTTTGCTTACCAAGGTTTATTTGCCGACCAAGTCTCATTTAATTTAAATTTATCGACTCTTAGTTAAATTATGTTATCTTCTTAATAAATGAAACGATACAAACCTATAAAAAAAAGTTGTTACCGAATAGTCGAAAAACATAATTACTAAAACATTAGGGGATACTAAATTTCATTAAAAATTAACTAGGCTTGAGTTTTACACGTAAATAGCATCATTTATAAAAGTACAAGAAAACTCACTAACTTGAATAAAGGGTGGGTGACGAGCTTGATGCCCCTCATGCATTAATAAATATAATAATCACTTCAATAAAATAATCGGTCTAAAATGGCATGAGCAAGCCAAGTCCAAGAAGGAAATCGTTAGCTGAGGTCAACCGAATTTGTGTTTCGGTTGAGGCCCACCCCCGCCTGGGCTGGGCAGGCGAGGGTCGCCCTCTCCGGCGTCGGGCGAGGACGACCCTCGCCAGATCCGGCGAGAGCTGGGCTAGGCAGGCAAGGGTCGCCCTCTCCGGCGTCGGGCGAGGACGACCCTCGCCGATTCGGCGAGAGCGGCTCTCGCCGGATGCGCGAGGGCCGCCCTCGCCCGACCCCGGTGAGGGCGACCCTCGCCCGCCCGGGCGGGCGGCCCTCGCCGGCGCCAGGCGGAGGCGACCTCACTTTGAGGCGGGGCGGGGAAGAGAAAAAAAAAAGAAAAGGAAAAGGAAAAGAAAAAAATAGAAAAAAGAAAAAAAGAAAGAAAAAAATGTAAAAAAAATAATAAAAGTACTGTTCCGGTGCCGGAACAGTCCTTTTTTGGCCGCCGGCGGACATTTTGGCCGGCCGCGCGACCCAGACCCTTATTTGAGATTTTTTGGGCACTTCGGGCTCTTATTTGAGACTGACTAAGCACTTCAGATTCTTATTTGAGACTTTGTCCACTTTGTATACCAAATTGAGAATTTGACCCCACTTTGGGTACCAAAATGGAATTTTCCCTAAATATCTACTTCGGGAAAACGAGCATGTTCAAAGATAACGTAAAATCTAGACATCTTGCCACGGAACATTTGGGGATAAAGAAGGCTATTTCCATCTCCAATGCTGCATAGTTCAGTTGCAGAGAGGATCGATCCAAAGGAAAAGCTTTGAAGCTTCCAATTAGGGTTATCACTCTCTCTTTTGCCGAAAACCGTCAATGTCACCTTATAGCGGTGGGTCACTCCCTTACTGAAAAAAATTACGGATTGCCTACTGAATTTTTTATTAATTTTAATCTTGCCCCCTCTTAGCTTGATTTGTGTCACATTACTCCCTGAAGTCCATGTCCTTCTTTCCTCGAGTTGCCCCACAACCTCACGGGAATATTTGACCTTATATCCGGCATGTGAGATGATTTTGATTTGAGGTCAGTTCCGCCACATTGTTGCCACTTTGTACCAATGAAAAGATCATTCAGTAGTTAAATCGAATCTCAAAAGTTAATACTAATCGAAACGGATAGGGGTGAGTATGGTCCGGTGGGCGGTTCCCACCATGGAACCGAGAACCGCCCACTAAGGACTGGTTCCGAAAAATTAGAATTGGGAACCGCCCGTTAGTTCAATGAATTCACCAGAGAACCGGATCGCCGGTCCGGTACGGTTCCCAGGTGGGTCCATAAAACCGGTTCCACGAAACTTCACACAAATGGAGGTGACCGAAAGCGAGAGAGGGAGGCAATGAACGATCGGACGCACGGCTGTAAATCGATGGGCGTTGAGTTTAAGAGTCAAGACAATGAGTAAGAGATAGAGAAACGACTCAGACAAAGTGAGAGTGAGACGAGACAACACTCAATTAATGAGCGTTGAGCTTTAGATTAGGGATTTTGGGATTTTTATTTTTCTTAATTTTTTTTATATATTTTTTGTTAGAAGTTTCCTTAAAAATTATATATATGTATATACTACCGGTCCAGTCCAGATGGGCGGGTGGGCAGTTCCATGTCTAGAATCGGGAACCGGACCAGTACTCATCGGTTCCACTAAATTGGAACCGGGAACAGGGCTGGTCCGATCCGATTCTGGGCGATTCTCGGTTCCTTTGTACACCCCTAGAAACGGGTGCTTTCTGTAGGCAAATTATCTTCGAAAATATATGATCCGGTCTTGTGATCAAACTATTCGATGGTCATGAAGCCTAATTGTGATCCAAGATACACACGACACTTTGTAATCACAATCTATCACATCAAATTAGATGGGCAAGACGAAATTGAGTTAAAAGTTGAGGGGCGATATGTAATTTATCTTGATTATACTTCAGCTATAAATAAAGAAATCGATGCCAAGGATTTGGTGGGCAAATTGGTACGTGTCGGACCTATTAGTGAATGGATTGAGGTCCAAAAACGCAAAATGAACACGAGGAGTAAATTAAAATAGAGTACAAGTTTTAGATAGACCCATCAAAATAGGTCATAAACCCACTTCTTAATTCAAATTTGATGGAATGGTTTGTTATATGGGCGGTTATATATATTAAATGAGTCATAAATGGGTTTTGACCCAACTCTATATGTCATAAATTGACTTAATATGTGCATTAAATATGTTCACAATGTATTTAGATCCAACTCGCCTCAATAATTCTCTCTTCACTCTCTTTCTCTCTCGCTCACTTCGTACTTAGTAATATGAATTGTGTATGGATCAATAGAAGTCACTAGATTTGTATTGTATGGTAATAGATCAAAACAGGTTAAACGGTCAGTTTAGGTCATGACAATTGACAACCCGATCTAAATTCGACCCAACCCACCTATCAACAGGTCTAGTTTCAGAGGAGCGAAGTGTAATTTCCTCGAACGTATTTTGGCAGTTCGCCGCTCAGCCGTCGAGCTCCGCCGTCTACTTCATCGAACGATGGCGGGCGACGGCGAAGGTCGGCTCAGTTTGCAGTTCCCGCCGAAAGAGAGAGAGAGAGAGAGAGAGAGAAGAATGTTGGAGGCGAAGAATCTGGTGAAGGCGACGGTTCCTTCCACTCTCATCCGCCACCCCTCTCCTGGAAATCTCCAGTCTACCCGCCTCGCTCTCCACGTAATCGCTGTCGACTCTCCCAAAACCCTAAACCCTCCCTCTCTCTAGACGTTGTTAAGGCCTCATGAGTTTAAATTTGCCTCCTTTTTGCTGGGTCAGGCTAACCAGGAAGGATCTTCATGTTGGGTCTACATTGCTTCCGGTTGCCGTATCTTCAGAGTCCAGGTTACGTTACACGACCCCTTTTGGCTTGAATTTTGCAAGAATTTTGATGTTCTGATATGTGCGGTCGGTTCCGTCGTAGCCCGCGGCACGTGGTTGTTAGGAATGTTCGACGAGTCCTTGTTAACTGATGACGGGGAATGGGAATGGTAGAACTCGACCCGGAATTTTGATGCCGTTTCGATTTTGTAAGAATGAAGTGGGGGTGGTTATAGAGAACACTTTTGCCGGAAAACTTAATGTATTGACCTGTGATGGTCGTGCGTTTTGAATGATTGTTATTGGGACTGCTCGCTGCGGAGATTTTGTCGGCGAATTGAAGATGATAGAATAGATAGGTATCATCATTTGCTGGAGGTTTTTGAGACTCCTCTATCGGATATCTGCTTATGCAATTAGACAGGCTAGAGAATTGTGGGTTCACAACCTCTCCTCAATGTCCTTTCGTATGGTCGATCTCTTTCCATGAATTATATCTCTATCTCTTTCCATTTCATGATTTCAGGTGCCCTTGGAGGGGGCTTTGGTCGGGAAAGGCAAAGAAAGCCTTCTTATTCCAGCTCATGCACAGGTAAAGCTCACTTGGTCTTGTATATTCCTCACTATGCCTTGTGTGCAGTGATCTCGAATTTCAGTTATGAACTGGTCTTAGCTTTTCTTTCGGGCAAAAAAGGGTTCTATTTCCATGGTTGGTTTTCATTCTGTCATCCTCTGTACGGATCCTCTGTAATGTGATGGTCTTGGTTTTTGAAGGTTACAGACTCTATGCTAGTCGACCGTTGCCCGCACCGATCCGAAATTCAGAGTATAGTGCTGACTGAATCTGACAGTAAGTGGCTTTTCTTTTAAGCTACCTGAAGATTTCATTTCACAAAAAAAAATGTCGAAGTATGATGTTGAGCTGAGTCGTGCTTGAGAAATATCTGGTTGTTGGCTGATTCCACTACAAAAACCCTAGAGACAAAAAGAGAAAAAAAAAGAATGAAAAAAAAAATCGGCTCATTAAACTAATTTTTTTGGGTAGTCAGCTCATTCAATTAATTGGCAAAGACTATTTGACATGAAACAGTAGAGTACCGCATAGCTAAACTGCTGGCCTACGACAAACTACTGCATTCTATACAGCAATCTGTTGCCCTTTCTTTCTGGCCAATTAGGTATTAATAATTACATTTAGTGGGTGACTTCACATTGGTTATGTGTGATGTGTGCAGCTGATTCTAATTTATTACAACTCAAAGCTATGCATGTGAGTTTTGTCCAACCACCGGACTAAGTGAAGGGCCAATGAAGAGTTGAAGTTTAATTTCAAAATCGTAATGTTGGACCTTTTATTATCCAAAAGCGTTGTTGCTTGTATTGCTATACAGGAGCTACTTTCAGAAATACATATATCAAGAAGGTTATAGTTGCGGATACTGCCAGTCCTATACAGTGATGGGTGGGCTCCCTTTTAAGATATTAGTTGGGCTTAGCTTGACATAATCTTGCCGGAAAAAAGACTTGCTGATGGTGATTATGATTGAAAGACTCATTCCTTTACTAGTTCCTTAAACAGTTCTCTCATGCTGTGTCTGGTCATGCTTTCGTGCCCGTTGGAGTGATATGTTCTATATTAAATGCTTAATTTATGGTCATCTAGTTTGGTGTGGATGCTTAGATTGTCTTTAGTATTCACTCTAGCGTGAGAAAAGCTGCTCTTCTCCTTGTCGAATTTTAGTTGGCGGCTGGCGACGTCGATTGACTGGCTTATAGTATTGTTGATCGATTGCAGGCGCTGGCTACTTAATGCTGGGAAGTGTGGATTCCTGTGGCCACCTCATTGTATCTAAGCTAGATAGAGGTGGTAAAGGTATGCTCCCGTCTAATGTAATTTAAATTTTTAGGGGACTTTCAGCAGGAGAATTAGAAATGTTTATTCTTGTGCGGTTAGCAGTGAGCAGAATTTGAAATCTTTTGATGTCAATTCTCTTCAGAGGAAATGAGATGAATACTCATTGGAATTCCTTTTTTTTTCTTCTCAGTCTGAATTTGCTGGTCAAAAACTTTGTATATGATCCAGCATTAATCAAGTTCGTGTTCTTTTACACTTTGTCTAGTCTCAATCTCTCTCTCTCTTTTTCTTTTGGGGGTTGGGGTGGTTTTTGTTTTTTTTTGCATGCTTACTCAAATTTCATTGAATGCGATAATTACATTCTACATATTCTTAACGATTGTTCCTGACATTTATTAACCAATTAAATGAATATATATCTAAATTTTCTGTTTTTTCTTGAGTCATGTGGAATTAATATTTGTAGAATCGATATATTGCATATGAATCCTGTCTGATGAGTGCTCAAGAGGCATTTATTGGGAAAACCCTATACAATTTTTGCGAAGGGGTTCATTTTATCCCCAATTGGACATGAATGGTAGTTACTCGGTTCCTATAACTTTGATACCGGGTTGGGGTTTTTGCAAATATGTAAATTTAAAGAAGAAAGCATAGAGTAATACACGGTCCACCGATGTAGAAGATACATTCGTTCTGCTAATTTGTGAAATTCCCCTCCTCATGACTCCTTTCAATAAGGTTCTAATTTGTCCTATGTCCTTTCCATGCTGTAGTCCTCTCTCCTCTGCATCATTAGTCTTGTTTCATATCCTTGCTTCTAAAGGTTTCCTGACAGAGAAGAGTCCAATGATTTTTGGTTTTTAATGTTCTGCCCTTCATGGCTGGGCTAGCCCTGTTACTGACTTTATACCGACTTTTGTCTGACCAATAGCAAACTGCGCAGTTTATCTATGTTATAGCTCCTCAATGGAAGCTATTAGATTAATCTTCTATCATTTAACCTATATTTACTTGAGATGTGATAGGTTTCTGGGCATATATATCATATAAGTGATCTAATTGCTTTATGATTGTCAAAACTCCTTGTTTTTCCTGCTTTCCTTGTTGACTCCGTCTTCGATTCATAAATTTTGTACAATAAAGTAATAATGTTTTCCCGTGGAATCTTCAGATGATGGCAGGCTTGCATACTCGGTATTGCCTCAAGATTGTGGAATTGGAGAAGGTAGTTGGGCAGGACTTTGCTTCAGTCCAAATCAATGGTCTATGGTACCTAGTCATCCATGAATTTTTCTGTTTTTCAATTTCCATTTGAAATTTGGAAGCATTGAGGATGGAATAAGTTGGTTATCTCATGGCACATGTCTTTTATGTTATCATTATCTCTTTCATGTCTTACTACACAGTAGTCTTAGTTGTATAGAGATTTTATTGATAAAGCATACTTTTAGTTTTCATAGTGTCCCTTTTTTGTATTCTGCGAGTGGTTTTGGAGTATTCATATAAGCATTGAATTTAACTTGCCTTTGGAGCAATCTTGGTCATGATGAACACTCACTTTTTACTTGACGATCTTAGACATTACATGTGCTTGGCATTTATCCTTTTGTTCTTACCCGTTCATGAACGTGGATAATAGTTTGTCTAAGAACCTCTGAGTTCAAAACTTTGAGGGAACCTGTAATTGGTCATTTAAACAAAGTGCATTAAAGTTGGAGACCAGATCACTGCTCATTCTACATAAGTTTTTCGTATTTATTTACTTGTACTTCTTTTAAAAAGTATTTAATATCTTGTATGATATTTCTCAGTGTTTTCCTGACTGGTTGTATATCACAGGCTGCTGTAGCACGGAGCTTTAGCAAAAGCATCGATATGTATGATCAGGATATGCATCTTCGGACTCTGAGGACGTATGTTCTTAGTGCTTGATAACTATAGGTACATGGCATATGTTTGCAGACTTGAGGAAAAAGTTGTTCTTATAAACCTGATCTTTCAGGCTGTGGTATCCATCTTCACTGAACTTCATAGAGAATATGTCTAATGGGAATGGAAATTTTATATTAGCTGTCGCTGAAGGTTGTCAGGTATAGTAATGACATTAAAGAAAGGATGTGCAGTATTTGCTTTTACAGATAATTTGTCTTTGACATTATGGTTGAATTTATTATTTTATTCAGTTTATGTTTGGATTGTTGCAGCTGAGTATATGGGATTTGAGGATGAAAGAAAATGGTGGTTGCCTCCATCGAATCTGTGGCTCTCTTGGTGACATCTTCTATGCTGTCTGCAGTTCTTCTACTAGCAACATAGCAGTTGGTGGTGCTGATCGTACGGTGACTGTATATGATCCTCGCAGGTTTCTCATTATCCATTTCTGTAAATGCAGTTACTTAGACTGAGTCTTCATAACTAACATGTAGAAGTCCATGGCTTATAGTTTTTGTTCTCGTTGAATTGGTCAGGTCGGTTTGACTTGATTTGTTGATAAGATGTGTAATATTCTAGATAAGCTTTGGTACTATTCCTGGAAGTGGTGGAGCGATCACAACAATTTCAGATTTGCTGTTTTCAGATTAAGGTTGAGATGCATGCATTAGATCAGAGGACTCAATATTTTTGAATTATGCATCTTGTAGGGTCGTGAATTGAAAGATGTAATGACAAGTTCTAGAATGGATTGAAAAGAAGCATTGATACGAAATAGGTATTAATTCATAGATATGGGAAGGTAATGTTATTATTCATTTTCCTACATACATTAATTGATTATACCACTTGACATTAAGTTTCTTCTAAAATAACTAGAACTAGAAGTATGAATTAAGTTATTTTCACTCGATAAATTCATTTTACCTCACTAAACAGAGTGCAGAAAGCTTGAATATACTCGTTTAATTTTGTAAGCGTATAGACTCCTCATGCCTTTGATGAGGTGGCAATACTCTATCGTGCTGTCTTCTCTGTTGAAGGGTGATGGCATCCCCATGTAAATGCAAGTTTGAAGAACTGTGAACTATTGCCTCATTTGTTCTTTTAAATTCTGACATTACTTAAGAGAAGAAAACTGAAAGAAAGAATGGTAAAGTCTCTCTTTGATAGTTTGTATGATTGCATACAATATGAGTTTATTATCCCATTTAATTATCAAATCCAACTTAGAATCTTGTTCAATTTACATTGAGGCTCCTTATCCTGGTGGACTTTAGATGAATCAGAGTTTGGATCTTTTGAGATCTGTCATCTTCCAACTGGCTCAATTGATGGATTCATGACCAAATGCTGAAATCAAGTTGAATTAAATGAATTGCTATAGAATTGCATGATTCTTGCACCTCCACTTCTGTCGGTTTTGTACATGAGTCATGTCTTTATCATTTGGTTTGCAGATTTGGGTGTTTTGTAATATTGTTTTTATACTTCTAATACAGATGGGCAGCATTATCACGATGGGTGCATTGCTCAAAGTATGAGGTAAGCTATTCCCCGCTTCCAAGCTCTTTGCTAATGTTTCTGCTTCAGAACGTGATTTGGAAGGAGACTTCAATTTCTTTGCATGCAAGAAATCTTTTTGTCATTGATTGTGGAGCCAGTTGCAAACTGTTTTACAATGATGAGTGTGAGACACATATTGACATTTCTTCATGGTCCAGTAGTTTAGTCAATTTCAAGAGATGAACGATTGTCTATGTGTTTGGGGTAACCAGAAGTCAATCGCTTAACATCTCTGTATCTAATAGCCATAAGTCACGAGTTGGAAGTTGATAACCTAGCTTTTATGTGAAGACATAAGTGGCTGGTTGATGATGGAGCTAGAGGTTGACCATGTACAACACTTCCCAGGAGCTGCCTTCTCCAACTGCATGTGATAGAATATTCACAGATAAAGGTGCATGCTTGTTTTGAACTATCTGGATGTCACCACCCATTCCTTTGACTACCTAAATCCTTGCCACCTGAACACAATTTTTCTTTTGGAAAAAGAAGAAGTAGTGGTCTCAACCTGTAAGTTGCTTTACATGATGATGCTTCTCCACTCATGCATGCATCAGTTATTGTATGATAAGGAAAAAGAAGAAATCTTCATTTACTTGTGTAATTTGAATTGAGGACTCATGCATCAGTTAATCACCGTCAAGCAAATTTGCTTTCACATTGTGAAAAGTGCAAGCTTCTTTAACTGGAAATGATAAGGAAAATAAGAGAGTGGCTTAGCAGTCTAAATTATTATTCAAAGAGTTAATCAGTTGTGGCCAGTTCCTTCTATTTTTTCCGTTTACTATCAGTTGGGTTCATTTTTCTAGAATGTGGAATGAACTTCCAGCTTCACTTTTTCCATTGTGTGACAGCAAAATCTCATGATTTGCATTAGTAGCTTAAATATACGCATTATGCAAATGAAGCTATATCTGCAGAAGTATCTCTGGCTTATGCTGTCAAAATCTGTTGGTGAGAGTAAATTTTTCCTGCTTCATCACACAGATCACTGGACTTGCATTTTCATCAATAAACTCTGATTATATCTATGTACAAGGAATGGATTATGAGGTAAGGTTGGCAAATAAGTTCTTATGTACTTTGTCTGCTTGCCTCTTCTCACTTGTATGTACTTTTGCTGGTTTAACACGTGGACATGTGCAAATAGAGCACAGCATAAGAATGATCTTACATGGATGTAGCCAATGGCGTGACTTGAAGAATAGGTGGCTATCAATGAAAACATTTTATAATGCAAAAATATTTTAAGAGATTATTGTATAGGTGTGTGCATCTGTCATGCCATAATGGTACACTAGGTGCCTGTAAGCTTTATTCCTTCATACAGTTATTGTTCTTTCTAGTGCTGGGGGTGCTCTAATTTGTTAAAGCAGTATGTCTTCCTTTCATGTTAATTGTAGTTGAGTTAAAACGTGGCACTTCCTCATCTAGCTTTCTTTTGTTGATGCCCAAGATTTAGTCCTAGTTTTCTTTCTTTTGATATATCTAGTCTTACTCGTAATCTTTTGTTTGGGCAGGTCTTTTGTGGGCAGTGGACAAAGAGCGAGAAAGTATTTACATTTAGAGGAGACTCAAACTGGCTAGGGTTTAACAAGGTAATATCGTCTAGAGCCTCAATCATTGCTTATCTGAATACCTATATATTAAACGGCAGTGTAGCGTATCTCATCCCAAAAAACTGTAAAGATGGAAGTTATCCTATAGATGCTGTATTCATGCCTGTTTGAAATGCGAATCATTGGGCAACAAAAGCTTTGATGTCTGTATGTTGTTGCACTTTAACATGGCGACCCTATTAATTGTACAATTATCAAGAGTTTGTGTTATATAGACTTACCTTAATCAAGTACAAGGTTCGTCTGAATAATCAATGTTAAGTGACCCAAAAGTTCTATTGGCTGTCACAGCACATTGGGCGAAGTGGGCCTTATGCCACTCTGATTGGACTGCCTTATACTGCAGCATTATGCTGCTGCACTTTATCATGAAAATCTCTTCACAGCGAACTCAAAGATCTGCTCTTCTCCACTGCAGTGCCCCGGCAGAGACGTCTTAGGCGGCTGGTGCGACTCGGGTAGCATCTTTGTTGCTGATGTTGTGGGTTGAAGCTATAGAGAAGCAGCAAGCCAGAGAGAAACTTCCCAGATGGGTATCCTTTTTCCCTTTCATCTTAAAAGGATGTATCTACTTCCTTAAGTAGGCGAGAGAAATCACAGGAAAAGAAGGGTTTTTGTTAGCATATCAGGGGGCTATATTAGCAGCTTATGATGCTTCCAGTCAAAGCCATCCAGTCAATGAGAATCTGGTTCGTGAGAATTTCAGCACTACTCTTTATTCTCGTAACTTCAATGGTCGGAAACCACTTAATTTCATCACCCTTTTGTTATATCCCTTGTTAAAGCTAAACATATAGCAAAGTTTTTGTTGAAGGAGGCAATGTTAGAGCATTTCTATGTCAGTCCGCGACTATGTTTAGATCGGTTGGCAATGATCCGATGAAAGATAGACCGTCACAGTGGCTTATGGATTGTGGAAACGTTGAGTAACGAGTGCGCGACATTAGTAGCTCGAATACTCCTATAGCTCACAATGGATTTACTTGCCGTGAGATCACTGGACAGAAATGAATGAGGAAATTGTGAAACCTTGGGCAGCAACTCCGCTCCATCATGACTAGGAGCCGAGAATGAATTGCATTGAGAAAGAAAAAGAAACTGCAAAGAGAGTTGTACAAGAAGTTTCTATGCATCTTGCCTTCTCGAGACCTAAGACGCTTCGTGGCTTCATATACAACAACTTAACATGTCGATTTGTACAATCTGTACGTGCGAGTTTGCGTATAAACATACGTGGAATGATGCAAAAAAATTCACACGAGTTCGGGTGGCCTCTGGTGCGAGCGGAGTGGCTGTGCGGGACTCCCGTAGTGCTGCGCCCATCGTCGACCCCATTCCCTTCCGATCAAGTAACATGTCAAGGCCAAGATGACGAGGCACAACAGTACAGCCGGCAACGACACTATCACCACGTAGCCCATTTTTCACCTTGCCAATTCTCCTTTAGTCGGTATCTCAAGCGGTCTTCCACTAAAACTCCAACTGCAAGTCCCATTCCAATAGATTAACAGAGCGATACTAACGAGCCACAAGGCAAACAAGCCAGTAAATCTATGAACGAATCATGCCCTACTTTCTATCAAGAAAGGCAAGAATCGAGTATTCTTAACTTTGGAATTCCGCCGTATATCTTCACCAAAGCCTTGAAAAACTTGGACAGATCATGCTCATACTAAAAGAAAGCAAGTGGAGAAACTCAGCAAACCTTGGTGTGATGCCAAACCAAAAAGCCAAGAAGAGATCAAGAAGAAGCGAAGCCTAAGCCAGTGACAGAGAGAGAGAGGTGATGATGAATGGATGGCAATTAAATACGGTATGCAACATCAATACGTGTACTCTGAGAGTGAGAAAAAGGCCTTTCTATCAAGCTTGGTGTCTTGTGCGTTTTCTGCCACACGTACCCATGGCATGCAACATCAGCAAGGCAGCGATTCCACTTCGAGCCGCAATATCAATCTAACTAGATGATCATCATTTCGAGCCAAAAAAAAAAAAAAAAACCTAGATGATCATCATTAATATTGGCAACGTGTGTATGAAATTAACCATATGAATTGGGGCTTTTGAGTACCCACCAACTCTTACCCACTTCAAGATTCAAATGAAAATCAAGCTAAAATTATTTTCGTCCATGGCGAAAAGTTGACCAGGTATTAATCTTGAACATGTTTGTCGGTGATAAAAATATTTTTTTGTTCATTTATTTTTATAAGCGATACGATCAATTATTTTCAAAATATATACTCTCAAAATAACCAATATTTCAGCGAAACGAGCGCACTCAGATTGAGCTCCATTAATTCTCGTGACTCAATCGTCGTCAGAGGTTGAGATCCGAACCCCTTAAGCTCCTTGGCGAGTCTAGATGCTGAATGGTCTCGTGAACCTAATCCCTCTTAGCAATTAGTGCTGTTCAATGCCATTTCCATCTTCCTTTAACCTAACAAAGAAAGCAGGAAACGTGCCTTGTAACGTTAAAAAGGACATGTGCGAATCTGTCATCAGCTTCGCGAAGCAATTACATTGACTTCTTCTTCTTCTTCTTCTTCTTCTTCTGACGAAGTTGGTTGTCTTGCTTCTTAGGCCAACGTATTCTGCTCTACTTCATAACAGAGACGTGTGAAAGAGACCAAGTCAATACATTCCACATCACTCCACGTCGTGAGCCCTAGTTTGTACGTATGTATGTATAGAGAGGGAGAGAGCTTTAAAAACTACTGAACTAGCAATCAACATGGACCAAGTCCTTCAATTCCCAAAAATCAATTATTGAATACGTAAAGATTCCTTGCCTTTCCAAGAGCTTGATTATTGTTTTTGTTGTTTCCTCATTTGAAAATGCCCCAATTGATATTTTATTTAATGAAGGAATCGAGGTCACGAACTCACTCGTTGTGCCTCGAGAATTGAACCTTTCGGCTGGTCAAATTGTCACTCGTCTCTCTCCATCTTTGGTGGCCCAACATTCAGTTCTCGTGGCAAATTGTGGATTAATGGGACTTGTTCAAGATGAACGCGAGTTGCTCTATAGGTATAAATACAAGTTGTTCGTGCTACTCAAAAGATTTTTGAGCTCGGGAGTTCCTGTTTTTGAAGCCACGTTAAAAAGTTCAATAAAAAAAAGTTTAAATCATCATATGAAAAGGGATTATATTTACATAAGGCACGTTATAATCACATCAAGCGACGCGGTATTACACTTTAACAATCCCGACAAGTTATTTATTTCTCGTGCTACGACCTAACTTCGATCAAATTGGAGAGGCAAATTTACATTCGACGCTAATTTAGCTCCACTCACGTTACAAATCCTGCTCGATTCATTGCATGAATTTCCATATTTTAGGTTTGAAAATTCAATCTCACCCAAGGATTGAAGTTCTTGAAACCATCTTGCCAGAAGAAAAAACGATGCATCCAACGTGACCATATAAGCCGGTCCTTATCCGAATCGTGTACCTACAAACGATTAAAGAACACGAAAAAAACTCGTGCTTGTTTGTTTCCTCATCGAAGTCTTTTGTTCGTCGAAAGCACGACGTATAAACAACTCTATTATATGCGACATAGTCAGACCACCATTTAAAATTGGCAAAATATTTTCAGAGAAATGGTATCGACATTGACGTTTCACTGTCGCATCCCTCTTTGTCTTCGAGCATATTTCTTGTCCCTTCATGGGCAAGACAAATAAACTAATAAATTTGACAAGCTATAAGCCCCACACGAGATTTGCAAACGAGTGATTATCTGATAATGAGCATGGAGTATCCGTCTTTATACTAACACAGAATGTATTGAACTCATATTTCATTAGATACTTTTTGTGAATGTTAACTGAGTATCGTAAGTTAATTGCTCCCGGTTGTTCAATCGTTTGATAATCAGAGTTATTCTTTGATAAATTATCACTATGAGTCGAATTCAATAGAATTTGATCAATCTTTTTTCTGTTGTTAAGGTGGAAAACTGAATCAAGAATTCTCTTTATTTATCATCATTCGAATTACTGTTTGCGAACCTTTTGGTTTTCGATAGAAAGGGGCAAAGGTTTTCTTCTCTCCACTCCAGTCCGCGGAGAAGAGGAAAACAAGCAGAAGCAGTCCTGACTCTTCTAATTTGGCATCTTCATTCTCGTATCTTCACTCTTGGATCGGGAACAGAAAGACAGTTGCCTGTTGTAATTGCATGCTTGGGGCTCTCTCCCTTCACCCCCCATGGTGATAGTCTATAGGGTTTGTAATCACACCTACTACGTGACGCTTATCTAGCCAACTTTTAGATCCGGCTCTAATCAACTTTTTCTGGTTTGCCTCAACATTCTCCACTTGTCCGACTATTGTTGAGCAGTTTTTGGATATCAAACGGACCTTTACATAAAGTAATTTTAAATGTGGCCGATTTCCTTTTTTTCACAATCAGTTTCGCTACAGCATCCGTTGCTCCAGCTAATTGTCCACCCTATCCAAGTGCGATTCCTATGTTATGTATGGCCGTGCCTAAGGGCATATCGGTTGAAGTAGTTCATTTCGATTCTTTCGCACCTAAACATCAGTAATCTAATTAGGGTTTTGCGTGCTGTCCTTGTACAAGAAACCATTAGGGTTTTGCGTGCTGTCCTTGTACAAGAAACCCTAACCCACTTCCCCTCTACCCATTTTCTTTCTAATCCAAATATATCATTAATCCTCATCAATAATTGACCTGCCATAGCTGACCATCGAGCGTCCGGAATTTTTTCTAAAAATATTTTTTATTACTTTATTCTTCATCATGAATGTACGAAAAGTGGTTTTCTGAGGTCAAAACCCGCTGTTGCTCGTGTAGCAAAACAAGTGGTGCATAATGAAAGTTGACCAATTCCTCCTAATCAAAAGGATAATTTAGCGAAGCGCCAGATCGTTTCACGAAGAGAAACATGACGACTCTTCCCAAAAAGAAAAAAAAATGAAGAAAAAGCATAGTAATCCACACACCTCGAAAATAATTAATGAACGTGTAAAAATTAGCACTTTATCACATGGTTAGGATAAAAAGGGTCCATTTGTTTCACCTTATTTGAAGTGAAAGAAAATTATCTAATGTTCAAAGAAGCAACGATCGGGATTTTTGGTATTCGAAATCGGATAGAAACGCAATTTCAAAAGAATAACTACGCACCTCCTATCAAATAAAACAAAAGATATTCGTGCACTTTAAACGTGCTACAAAATAAGCTTACTCTCTCTTTCTTTCTTTCCTATTATAAATTGAGATGTTTATGTAATTATCACTCAATCCGATATCCTCCAAAAAGCGGGGACCATAGGTAGTGTTAACGAAACACCGTAGATCGGTGGTGATCGCTCCTTCTCGCTCTTTTGCTGAGGAAAGGGAAAATAAAAGATAAATCACCTTCGTGAATATAATTTTTTAGGGTTTCATTTGTTTCGCGAAAAATGAATAATAATGAAAAACATTTTCATTACCAACGACAATTCATATTTAACCATTTTTATTGAAGATGTAAGTAAATATTTTTCTATTCATTAAGTGATACGGCCTATCATTTTAAATTTTTTTTTTTAAAATTATTCATATTTTCGGAAGGCGTTACATTGACATTTCCATTTTCCTTTTCAACAATTATTTCCTCTTTTTTCTTTTTCTCTCTCTCATAAATTGCATTAGGGACCAAACCAAACTGTGTCATGCCATGTCCTTCTAGAAGGAGAACGAGAGCCCTACGCGCCAACGAGGACCGAGCCCTCCACTTGTTAAGTCATCCACGTTTCGCGTTCGTCAGAGACCCAATCAAATTCCTCCACGTGGTCAACGCGCCCCCTCCCCCGGGCCGCACGTGCGCGGCACCAAGCGCGCGAGCGCCACCACCCCGCCCCCGCCCCCTTCCCTCCCGTCACGCGGCCCCAGCAACACAGCCCCGTGACGCTAGCGGCGGTTAAAAAAAAAGAAAAAACGAAAACACGACCGGAACAGACATCCCCGCGGGAAATGATACGCTGCTGCCGAGCCCAGGATCATCCACGGGGGACACAGGGCACGCCACGACAACTGCCGAGTACCGAGTAACGTGGTGCCCATGGACGGCCCAGGGCGCGATGCCCCGGGAAACCGACGGTCGAGATCCGATCGCGTCGACTGCGCGTGGGCCGGCGCGTCGAGGGGCCCTGAGTGGGGGGCGGGGGTGAATTAATAGATTAACCATGCTAATTGAGGTAAAAATCTCTCTCGCCATCACACGGCCGACCCGTCCCTTTCCGAACCACCCATAAACACGCGGTCCAAATCGCTCCCCCCAATATATATGCCTCCCCCCTTTAGGGTTTCATCATTCATCCATTGTTGGAGCTTCGTTTGCACGAGCAAGCCTTCGAAATTTGATCAGTCCGACGCGTGTTCTGAAATGGGCCGTTGCTAAGATTCCCGATTCGAGGCCCCCCCGCCGTCGAGGGATTCGGTAAAATTCGCGAGCTTGCTGCCGTTTCCGGTACCTGGGTGGTCTTGTGGGATCGAGAGAGAAAATGCCCGCGACGGAGTACCAGGGCTCTTACATTGGGCGGTCCATCCTGAGCCTGCGGCGGGACCAGGCGGTGCACTCCGTGGACCCCGGCCACGAGGCGACGAGCGCCGAGCTGGAGCTGGATGCCTTCCAGAAGCAGGTCGCCGATCGGTTCCTCGACCTGTCGTCGGCCGGGCCGGAGGAGCTCCTCTCGCTCCCGTGGGTCCGGAAGCTGCTCGACGCGTTCCTCTGTTGCCAGGAGGAGTTCCGGGCGATCCTGTTCAACCGCAGGTCCCAGCTGTCGAGGTCCCCCATGGACAGGTCGATCGCCGATTTCCACGAGCGGAGCATCAAGGCCCTGGACGTCTGTAATGCGATCCGGGACGGGATCGAGCAGGTTAGGCAGTGGCAGAAGCTCCTGGAGATCGTCGTGTGCGCGCTGGACAACAGCAGCCAGAAGAGGAGCCCGAGCGAGGGCCAATTCCGCCGCGCCAAGAAGGCCCTGATCGATTTGGCCATCGGGATGCTCGACGAGAAGGAAGCCGCCGGCGGCTCGGGTGTGGCGGCGCACCGGAACCGGTCCTTCAGCCGCAGCAACTTGACCCGCGACCACCGCTCGTTGGGCCATTTCAGGTCGCTTTCCTGGAGCGTCTCGAGGTCGTGGTCCGCCGCGAGGCAGATACAGGCCATCGGAAATAACCTGTATGCCCCGAGGGCGAACGAGATCGTGGCCACCAACGGCCTCGCCGTGTCGGTCTTCACGATGAACTCGGTGCTCCTTTTCGTGACATGGGCCCTCGTGGCGGCGATCCCATGCCAGGACCGGGGACTGCAAGTCCACTTCTCCATCCCGAGGCAGTTCGCCTGGGCCGCGCCGCTCCTCTCGCTCCACGATAGGATCGCGGAGGAATCGAAGAAGAGGGAGAGGAGGAACGCGTGCGGATTGTTGCGGGAGATCCATCAAATCGAGAGGTGCGCTAGGATGATGAGCGAACTGGTGGATTCGGCCCAATTCCCGCTGTCCGCCGACAAGGAAGAGGAGGTGAGGCAGAGAGTGGAGGACATGGTGGAGGTGTTCGAGGCCGTGAAGGATGGGTTGGATCCACTGGAGAAGCAAGTGAGAGAGGTCTTCCATCGGATCGTGCGGAGCCGCACCGAGGGGCTCGATTACATCGGGAGGGCGAACTGCGCCGAGTAGAGAGGACTCCCGACGACCGGCGCCGGGAAGAGGAGTACTTATGTAAAGAAATATATATATGAATGTAGCATAGGGGAAGAACCTCGCTGGGTTCTTTGCTTCTCTTACTGTCTTCTTCATGATGATCTAATAATGTCTTGGGGCGCGATGTATATCGAATGTCTTACCTGCGTTTTGGGTAAATTTTGGTGTTTGAGCATTTGGAGAATTGGGCCGTTCTTGTATTATTATGTATCTTTCCTTTTGTCCTTCTGGTAATACATTGCACATACTGGGTTAACTTTGGTTGGAACAAGCACCATCTGTTTTGCTTTGCATTAGGCTTCTCAATCCGATTTTGGTCCGGTTGCAGTTGTGATATTGGAATCTGAAGTCCCAGATGACTGTCTTCTTCTGTCTTTCTGGATCTTTCGACATTGATGCAGAAAGATTCAGATTGGGTATGAAAACATGGGGACTGGAAAGTCCTGAAGCTTTTTTAATATGCCGATACCAGATTGTTCCTGCCCATTTTTGACCTTGACCGCATGTGATCTTCCATGTTAGGAACAGAGCCATTCAGGGTCCTGATGGATGCCCCTCGATCATTTTAGTTGGCTTTCTGTAATTGCAAGTTCATTTGGTCAAATTGCATTGATCTGGGGCGGTGCATGACTTCCATTACAAGCTTGGACGGCTCAGTGGGAATTGCTGTGTTGTTGTTCAGTCTCGAGGTACGGTCGGTCAGAACTACAGCTTCCTCTCTCTTGGAGCTGGATTTGACTCTGACCTGAGGAAAAGGACAAATGTTCCAAGCTTTGACTTTTGACTGGTTCTTTAGGTCTGAACTCTGAAGAAGAGGGAGGGGGTTGGTCTGTCTCTCGAGAACGTTCGAATTGTAGGCAAGACAGCGTGTGACTGCGGCCGAAGCCAAGCAAATAAAGAAAGAAGGGAAACATGGTCTGCAATCCGCATGATATTTTATATGTGTTTGTGTATGTCATGATCTATTTTTTCGATCTTAACTTTCTCGAGCAGTTGTTTAGTTCACACTATGAAAAACAAAAAAAACAAAAAATACTTTACAGTACTATTTAAGTTTCCCGAAATATCATGTGTGAATCTACTTGTCATTATTTGGGTGTTGCGAAAGTTTTGAATTAAACAAAAAATTAAATGTGCAAGCGGCGAGATTTAGATTAAGCCAATAAAAATAAACCGAAAAGTCAATCGATCTAGACGGGCTAACGGAGGATTTTTTTGCCCTCCTTGGAGAAGTCTGAATTCTTCCACAGGGATTGTGTCGGTGCGAAGAATGATTCATTTGGATCGTTGTGTTAGGAACCTCATTCTAGACAAGATAGATCTCTTATGCTTCAAAAGTCTTAATCTGAAAATGACCGAGCCAATAATCGGTAGCCCGAACATGATTTGCGTGACTTAATTAATTAAGCAGCCCTAATTAGGTCCGTTTAACCCCGAACATGACACGCGCAACCACCCAAACTACTCCGTTAGGATTCGACCAAAAAAACAAAAACTACTCCGTTAGGTATAATTTATCTTTTGTGGCAGTTTATTCATGAAAAATGACGTCTTTGATGTGATTATTTGCACAAAACCAAATAATGTTAGATTAGGACTAGCAAAATTTCGAACTCAATTCCATCGTTCTTAGATTAATGAAGAAAATTCAAATTCCTTTTTTAATTACTCTACGAATGTTTATATAATATAAGATAATGACAGTTAATTTCTCAATTTACTTATAATGTGTATTATACTTTGTCGTTATATGTAATTCAAGAAAAAAAAAATATATCCATGTAGATTTGGGTACGACCTTAATCACTCCAAGCAGCCTACCCATTTACGTTAATCTATAGAATTAATTGCAGAAGGGCCTTCCATCTTATTTGACGGCAAATGAGGAAGTTGGGTGTGCTCAAGTCGTCTCCAACTTTCAATTCCAAAAGCTACCTTTTGTCATGAGGACAAAAGAGCTACGAAATCACGAAAGGAGTAGCCAAAACGAGCACGGTATTCATACAATTACAAGTCTAATTAAGGTGATTTAACCTAAAGGATGAGCTAAACTCTTCAGATCCTAACTATCATATCCCGTCATGAATCGGATGCTATCAAGTCATCGTTACAAATTCTTATAAGCAATTGCTAACATTGACCACATAACATTTTAGTTTCGTAAATGGCGTATTATTATAAATTTCACAAAATAAATAAGGCGGCGCTAGATCGCCAGATACAGTTATTTGATCATATTATAGTGGTTTTAGAACATTTCGGGTACAGTAATAATGTGGTTGGGCGGTCAATGTAAGCCGATATTTTAAGAATAACCTGTGGTGAATGGGCCTGTTAGAGTACACACTATAGATATGTTGTGGTTTCATCTCCCCTCCTCTTACATACGCTGATTGTTCATCCATCGAGACCATGTAACAAAGGAAAAGGAGAGAAATATCTAGGTCCGGATCCGTGCGACTTCGCCCTTATCGAAACGGTTCGAAGACGGTGGTTGTCCAAACCGAGTATGCGATTTCGATTCTACTATCTCAGCATTCTAAATTTCCATATATGGATTACAGATGGTCAATTCTCTTATAGTCGGCACTCGCGATCGCAATCCTCTCGCCATCCACGTTCTTGATATGAGCTGGGGGTTTGGTGACACTTCAAATCAATGTGGAAGCACAAGGATTGAATGCAGGAATGGCCTCCTTTCTTTCTCGACCGCAAAGGAGGAGACTTACCAACCACGCCGATTGGGACCTCCCTGAGAATAGGGTGGTTGGCTGTCCGATGGTAACATAACACCCGAAAAAGCTAATTTTGTCTTCTTTCATCTTATCCAATGCAACTCTCTGGTCCATTCCAATCCCACCTGGACGGATGCTGTCCGAGAGCTGTTGTGGGTCGAGCATCATGCGCGCCTCAAGTTTGGACTCACAGAAGAAGTATAGCCCCACCAACATAATTGCATTGATAGGCAGGGCGTTTTGAGGCGATCTGCCGTGTGCGATCTAGTGTTAACAAGTGCCTGGAGAGCACCTTTCGAACATATTTTTAAGAAGTATCCGGCTTTCGCAACATTAATTACGTATGTCCCAAGAATAATCTGTATGATCCCGAAAATACAAATTTTTCTTATTTGGCAGGCGAGATCCTCGTTAGTGCTGTGATTTTACTAAAGTTAAGAATTCCGACATAAAATTCAAAATCTAGAAATTTTAATCTTGCCAAAGCAAGAAAGAGGCTAGTATTTCAACTCGGACTCGCCGAGAATTGATTCAAGGTATTCTCCTCCGGTTGACGCATCATGAAACGTTACGAATTTCGTCGACAGAAGGTATTTTTGGTAAAGTCCGGTACCAATAGAAATATATGTAAAAACGGGAGCACAGAAAACTCAATCCGAGTCTTGACCAGTGATGACCTGGGTTATGAGCTTTCTTATATTGCAGTGCATAGGAACAGAGGGTAGGAAGCAAGTTTTGGACCTTCTGGCCCAATACTTTCTGCATTTTGGAGGTTTAATCCATCATTATGGACACAAGCAACTATGCATTAACAAGTGCCAGCTTTTTTTGGTAACATGTTTGCATTTTCCATCGCCAGTTAGCTAAGTGTTCCAGCTTTCTTTGGCGATGAACTTTCACGAATTTTTGTGGGTGGAGACCACTGAAAAATTTTGAGCCCCTCCAGGACCGAGGATTCACGGGCATGACACGGTGACACGATCTTATACGGTATGAACACCAGAAATTCCGTGGAACTTATAACTCCGACTTATGACCCGGATGACAGTTTAGCCGAAAACGGACATTAGTCGACACATTTTGGCGGTTCTTTTTCGGATCCGAGTTTTGCAAAGAAGCCGATTAAGTTTGAGCTATATTGTCAATGTCACAGATTACACACGCAAACACGAGATGAAGCAGCAGGAATTGGCACGCCTAGATCGTGTACTAATGTCCGAGGACGGCTTTTCAAAATTCTGGGAACTCAAATATCGAATTCATTTAACTAGGGTTTACTAGAGTCTTAACTCAACATGCTCCATCTCTATGTTGCCTGCTCTAGAAAAAGAACTTTTCAGAGTCTTCAAATTCAGGTCTTGTAGATAGAATTTTCCATGGTGACTCAAGGAAAACAGGAGTTAAAGGTGCTCATAAGTTTAGAAGACCAAAACAGTCCGAGTTCTATCGAAAATTGCAGATAAGTGTGCTATGCTAAGAGTTTGCTCGGAGCCCCGGTTGTCTTGTTAGGTATCTGGTCTGATATAAGATGCAGATGATATATCTTTGAAACACCTACATTACATTTCAGACAATCGTGAAATATGATGTCTAAGCTGGGGAATCAGATCTCTTGATAGGTGCTCGTATGTCGCAGGGCTTGAGGGCGCACAAATAGTCCTCCACCCGGTTTCTGGTCCAACCAATAAATTGCGCATTCGTACTGACGAGGGATTCTTTTCCAACTTCATGTAAATTTTCTCCGTTAACGATGCCGCCTAGGTTAATGCAGGCTGAGAGTTCCTTCGTCATGTACATTCTCCGAAACACACGAACAAAGACCGAATTTGAATGTTCTATCAAGTGTCAAAATTCACCGGTACATGCATTTGAACATAAATTGCAGCAGATGCAACCGCGTTTTTGCACATCTTAACCATGAACTTTTCGTTAAAGTGAATGTAATGGAAGTGATTTTTGCGTGTTTGTTGTCATTGAATCGCTCTTATCCATCCAAAAGCCAGTCAAATTCCGTCATCCAAGAAAGAGAGAACATCCTCGAGATTAATGACCTTTCTTACCTAGTAAGGATCTCACAATTATTTAAGCTTCTTTACAGCTTTTTGGCTTGCTTAGAAAATATCTGACACTAAATTGCTTTTCAACTAAAAATTAATGCCGCCGAAACGAAAAGAAAACCGATTCACGCCTCCGAGCGACGATAAATTTCACAAGTAAAGATTGAAGAATGATGAAATTGGGTGAAAGGAAATAAAGGCAAAGGAGAAAGTTGAAAAAAGAGAGGAGGGAGCAATTGATTACACAGCAAAACTAAAGGCCAAAGCTTGCCAATGATTCCAAAGTAGGGTCAAGGCAAGGAGCATCATCATATTACATGGTCTAATTATAATCTCTAAAGCTACTTTAAGGTCCCCAAATAACCTCCCACTCATTAGCCTACTCACATTCTTTACACACTAGTTGTAGTTGCCTCCTAAGTTCTTTTTTTTTTTTTTTCCCTCTTTTTAGCTCCATTTCTTTGGTCACAGCATCAAGA